AAGGATTCTAAAACAAATATACTTACTGGTATCTCTGGAGGAACGTTAGCTTGGAGTTTAGCAAGCATAGGTGCGGCCGGATGCCGTAGCGAATCTGCTTGCGAAAATCGCCGCATATTGGAAGGTAAAAGGTGTAGAGGGTTTGTCTCGATTGTTAATGAATGTCGATGTCTAGAAAAATCTCTCAATCGAACACAAGCAACTGATCGCTCAATTATGCTTACAGTTGAAGGCATTAAAGTATCTAGCTTTCCTCTCTGCCATGGGTAAAACTTTATGTGCTTTGAAGTATTATGTTACTTTTGAAATGGCATAAATACTTCAAACTTCGTTTTTGAACTGCGGTTTAACGCGATCTTAGTTGTTTAAACGTGAATAAAGCAAAATTAGATTTTTACTTTCTGACCAATTGAATTAAGGTTGTCTGGTATGTGACCGTAAAGATTAAATAGCGTTTTGATGAATCACAGAGAAAATGAAGCGGATCTAAAGTTTTGCACTGTATCTCCCTATCTCCTTAATTAGCGTCTTTTGGCATGTACTTCTATGGGATAAAATTATCTTTTCATCATTGTTTTCATTCAGTTCATTCAATGTCCATTACTGCGTTGATGGGTTGACTGAACTTTGTACCTCACCCACACACAACGAGCGTCAGAATGAATGCTTGTAAGATGTGTCATATGTATAAATGCCTTGTGAGCAATTGGATTGAAATACATGTGTCAAATCGCACATGAAGGTGTAAAGCTAATTTAATGAAAGCCAAATACAAAGACTATTTTAATCAGTACAGGGTCAAATGCGAGGGTTTTCAGAAGACATTTTTCCTCACTAACTGAATGAACTTTGGCTTTTCTATCCCATCAATGAAAAATTCATGTTCCAATAAAGCACTTTAAATGCATATTTCTAAGTAAAAGAAATGAACATTATTCAAATGAAACCAAATTTTTGTCTAAGCAACATTCCACAAAAGTTGGGACTGCTCGAGTTGGCATTGAGCTCTTGCTGAGGTTCTTAATTGAGTGGAATGGTGTTGATGGTACGACGTAGGAACACCCATTTCCGATAGAAAAGACAACTCAACTACAGGTGATTCGTAGTTAAATCTCAAAAAAATCCTTGTAATTATAGATATAATGATGAAGAAAGTGATATAAGCTTAATATCAGATAATCAAAAGCAACGGGAATATTTTCTAAGATTTTCCCACAGTTTTCGCTTAGAAAGATGAACAGATGGCAAAAACTAACACAATGCAACTCTCCTTATTTCTTAGCGTGA